CAGCCGTGCTCCTCCGGGAAAGGCCACGGAGCGGGCGGCTGAGGGTCCCTCGAGCCCGGATGTGCCAGGAGGGCAGAGCCTGCCCCGGCCCTGCCCCGCCGGGGCTGGGAGCGAGGCGAGGGCTGCGGCGCAGTGGGGGGGTCACCCCTGCCACAGGGAGTGCAGCCGGATCTCAGCCGGAGGCGTGGAGGGGGGATCTGCCCCGACCCCCATTGCGCTCCGCAGGGAGTGAGTCCTGGCCAGTGCCCACGCCAGTGCCCACGCTGCTCCGCTACAGTCTCCTTAACTCCGGGAGCAACAGGCAGCTCTAAGTGATGGGAAACACCAGTCTCAGGAGCACTGTTTGGCAGTTGGGCCAGCAGCCAGGAGCGAGGCGGGAGCCAGCACCCTTCTCTCCAGCACGCAGGCTGGGACCAGCGGCCCAGAAACCTGCTCCTGATGCAATCCAGCATTTGCATGTCGTGAGCATTCAAACAGGCAGCGATGCCAGGAGGTGAGCCAGCCCCTCCCTGGCATCATAGGCAAGGCTCTGCTCCAGCACCGCTGCCAAGGATGCAGAGGCAACAGGCTTCCAGCCGTTTGCAGCAGAGCAGGCAGGAGCACTGGGCAGGGTGCTACAGGCCCTGTGCTGGGTGCCTGCCTACCCTGCCTCCCCCCGGGGTGCACGCACAAGGGCGGGGAAGACAAAAAGGCTCCACTCCGCAAAATGACCTCAAGGTGATGGAAACAGCAACGCAGCATCCTGTGAGTGCAGCTGCCAGGCAGTGACGCAGGCTCTCCTCCCGCTCTCAGCGCTTGCAGATGAATGAACCGTGGCTCAGCAACGCCCCTTCCCCTCCTCGGCTGCACGCTCCCCACCAGGAAGGAAGCAAGCTCAAGATCAAGACACAGAAATTCCCCGCAGCCTCACTGTTAGCGCCCAGGCGCTTCCCGCTCCTTCTTGGGCTGCCTGCAGCAAGCAGGGACCTGGCTGGGCCAAAGTCCTGCTGCCTGCAGTGCTGCGGGCAGCACCATTACTTGAGGGTGCTCTTGGGTGGGCCCGGCAGCACCGTGGGCACAGCAGGGCTCCATGGGCAGATGCCCCGGCCCAGCCAAGCAGAGGCTGGGTACCCAGAGAGGCAAGGAGGGGATGACACAAAGACTCGCCTATTCCCAGAAACCCTCTTGCGACAGCAGCTGTTGAGAGGCAGTTTCGGGCAGGGAGCAGCACCAGGGCACTGAACATAGCTCCAGCTCCCAGACCTCACACGCAGCTCCACACCCATCTTCCCAGTGCCCCATCCCCACCTCCCAGTCTACTGCTCTCCCCCACCACCTCGTTCAGGGCCCTGATCCAGCAGCACAGGCCAAGGGCCAGGAGCAGGCAGAGACACGAAGGGAGCCAAGCACACGTCCCAACAGGAGCGGCAGGAAGGCAGACAGTGGCAGGGCACGCGTAGTCAGCACCAAGGAGGGTAGGAGGTGGCTCCAGCCCAGAAAGGGGGCCAAAAGCCCTGCAGAAACAGATCTGAATCAGCCCTTGGAGCCCCATCACCTTCCATGACTGGAGCACAGAATCATAGAATATCTCAAGTTGGAAGGGAACCATAAGGATCATCAAGTCCAACTCCCTGCTCCTCGCAGGACTACCTAAAGCTAAACCACATGACTAAAAGCATCGTCCAGACGTGCCTTGAACTCTGACAGGCTTGGTGCCGTGACCACTTCCATGGGGAGCCTGTTCAATGACCGACCACCCTCCCAGTGAAGAACCTTTTCCTAATGTCCAATCTGAACTTCCTCTCACGCAGCTTCATTCCATTTCCTCATGTCCTGTCGCTGGTCACCAGAGAGAGGAGATCAGCACC